AATATTAAATTTAATTAGAACATATTAAATTTTAGTAACCTTATAAACAACACTGAAACTTTATTTATTTTGGTAAGTAGTTTTTTGCGTTTGCATTTGCAATTATAAAATAAATTTTTAATTTTTTTTTTACTTGCAATACATTTTGTGCATGAACTTTAATAACAAGTCTTGGTAATGTATTTAATAAATATTGATACCGTATTTCTTATAATTAAATAAAGTTTTCTATCCATTTTTCATATAAATCTGTGTCTCAATTAATATTTTTTATATATTATTTTAATCTTTCTGCCCTGGATTTGGATATACGCCCTGAATGATCCAAGAAAGGGCATAAATGTCGACGCCTTTTGTACGATCACAAAAGTGCGGTATTACATTTCGGAAGCACACTATTATTATTATTACTATTATTATTATTATTATTACATCTACAAATACATATATGTATGTATAGATGTATGTATTTGAATTATACATATTGTGAGTGACATTTGATGTTTGAATTCTTGATTTTGACATGTGCGGTTATTCTATGCAAAAGAAATACTTAACAGTCAAATCGACTGGATAAAAAAATGTATTAATCATATGCTAACATTTATATTTATTATTATTAAAGTTAGATTTTTATCTATTACAAGTTATCATCTCATTAAACCTACTAGATTCTATATTCCTACATCTTAAAACTGTATTTTACCATTACCATTACGAACCTCGCACTTTGATAGATTTTGAGACGCTCTAAGAATTACTAGCAAATTCAGTTTTGATATTTTCAAAATTTTAGACAAATATATATATGTTTGTATGTATGTATTTATAAATGTGGTTCTACATATATATGTATTTATATCCCTCTCTCCCCCAAGGGAAATTACATTGGGCAAACAGCGCTAATAGAGTGCCCCCGCAGCCGCCGTTGTTAAATCGCGCAAGGGGGCGCGAAAACATTCCGAGACTCCTGAAGCGACAGTTTCGTCAAATATTTATTCAAAATTGATTGTTGTTTGTCCGCGTAACGAATCCTCGATTATTATTACTGTATCCACTTTATGATATTATGTTGTTACACATGTAACGAGAAAACAGGGGCTGGGAGGCGGGGGTTGTTGGAGCACCGTTGGACATATGGCGAGGTAATAGTAATACAGATTTAAAATGTTGGAATATGGAAATTAGTAGATTTGATAAGACGGAGCTCTTATAGGGTAAAAATTTATGGACCGATTCTGCGCATAACAGAGATGTTACGGCATGGCATGTTACGCTCCGACTCCCCATACATTATGCGAATGAATCATACTGAATGCTGTCAAAATATCATGTATTTGCTGTTCATTCCGGCGTTTAAAACCTAAACTGCAACGTCACTCGTATCTTACCTAAGAGGAATCAGAAACACACACTTATCTAACATCGTTTTTTTGACATTTGTGCGGCTTTTAGGTTATGTTTTGTATGAGAAAACCTGAGAAATTCGCCTGACTGAACACCAACCGCATAACTTTTGTCTATATTACTATGGAAAATTCTTCATAACATGACCTTATCATAACATTGCGGCAGAATCGGTCCCTTAATATACTTAAATCATGGAGAGTAAAAATACAATATTTTCATTTTTTATTGTTTACAACTTTTTCCGGGTAGAGGTCCAGTGGGTTCTTTTACTCCATCTACGTGTTAGTTTTTATAGAGGTTTTATAAAAAAAACTGTGGTAGTCATTTTAGGTTTGAAAATTGATAAATTTTAGAAGTGTAACAATAATTCTGCTGCTAAATCTGAAGGGTTAGTTCTTTTGAGTCTTCTGGGTATATTTTATGAAAGCAAGTCTTTACCAAGTTGGTTCGGATGATATTCTAGTCTAGTTTTGAACTTACCTTGGATGCATGTCTTCTGATTTATTTTGATATCGTTGAGTCCTGATGGATCAGCCAACTTGGGCGCCTCCAGTATTTTTCTTAAGAATTTTATTTTGCGACCTTATTAAGGCAATTCTATTAGAGATGGCATAAATATCTTTTCCGACGGATTTGAATTGAATTAAATTGTTTTAGATGTAGTGGCATTCAATGTAGTTGATTCAATAAGTAATAATGATGGTATTTGTAAGAATAATGGTTTCGATTGCTGGTAAGAACTCTGATGTCTTTCAGGACTTGAACAGCCTGATATGGAATAATGACATCATAAATTTGGATACAAATTTGCCAAAAGTGACAAAAATTCAATTTTCTTGATGGTGTACATGTCAAACTTGTTCATCAAGGGTTTGTACATATTTACTTACTGAAGTAAAAAAATATCTAGATGTAAATATAACTCTCTATTAATTTTGGAGAAAAGCGTCTGCGACCAATGCACAAGTCCAACGATGGTGCAAATCCACTCCCTAAAAACAGATCGCGTTTAGCATTTTCGAATATAATATACAAAACTCGTGTAATCTCTTATTTGCAATACTCGTGTTCCGTTTCCTTGTATGATTTTCATTGAAATTATTCTCTTGTCTTCGTGTATATGCAAACATTATCATTATTATTAGTTTCGTATGCAAATACATGATAAATACGCATTTATGCTATTTTCTTTCGATTGTGTCGGCGAAATTGCAAGGAGTCCTTAAGACCTTAAACTGCTGAAAGAGACCTCAAACAACGCCGCCTCGTCCACTGATCCGTTGATCCGTTAATCCGTTAATCTTCGAGTTAACAAAAGCTAAACGTTCGATTAGCGGACAGACACCTCTCTCTCACAATTGGTAAAGGACATCAGGAGGAATGGACAGGACAGATGCTGCTGCAGCAATAGTCCTTATACACTTATATAGGGAAAAATACATATATTCAATGAATTTTACAAAATAATGCTATATAAGGTTGTCAAATATCTCCTTTCCGCCTTTTTGTATTATAAACCAAGAGCAAAAAAGGCGGAACGGAGATATTTGACAAACTAATATTACTCAACCAATGAGAAATATAAATTCCAAGAGTCCATTTTTTACAGAAATAACACTGCATATAACCTTGATATGGTATTTTGTCATAAACGCGTCATATCAGCGCAGTTGTAAATAACTATTTATATAACTAACTATAAGTAAAGTTAAGTTATATGTAAAACTCGGTTGATAATTTTAGACTAATAAATAAAACATTAAAATAAT